CCTCGGGGTCCGGCTTGGCCACCGTCCGGCGGGGGGGGTAGTGTGGGGCTTCCCCAGCTGCCTTCCCCCACCGGCTTGGCACAAAGGCTCAGTCAGCCCTGGCGAGGGGGCGCTCCCTGGGCACAGCTGCCGTTAGGCTTCCCGGGGGGGTCTCCCATCCAGGGACGGGGCAGGCCCGATCCTGCTCCACCTTGGGAGGTGGGACGCCCGGCTGGTCTGAGTCAGTCGGATCTGGGAGCTGCCCCTTGACCATAGCCTGCAAGCACCGCCGGGCAGTGTTTCTCAGCCTCAGCAGCGATACGCCGGTGGAGTTCGATTTCCGGAATTTCCCAACTACCTTGCTGGCTGGGGAATTCTGGGAATCGAACTCCACCCATCTTAGAGCTGCTGACACTGAGAAACACTGAGCTGCACCTTCTGGGATGAGGCAGTTAATCGATCTGAGCAATAAAAATAAACACACACTGACACCCCAAAACGGAGAGCCACCCACTCTGAGTAAGTGTCTCCTTGTGGCTGGCCCCATCTCCCCCCACCTCCTTTATTACTGCCTTTCCTGGAGGGTCTCTTTCTCCTTAAGGATAAGCATGCATGCCCACTCAGGGCGCCCACTGCCTTCCTCCGGTGCCAGCAGCCCTGCCCCTAAAAGAATGCATTTACTGCACTGGATTGTTAATTGTTTTTCTGACTTGCACACACGTCCCCCCCAAGAGTTGTGCCCCTGCTGCCTGTTTATCCCTCACCTTGCCCAGCGTTCCCCAATCAGGTGTCCCCCGATGTTGGATTTCAGAAGGAGGCGGGATTGTTCTGCCCGCATGGAGGATGAGGCCTGGGAATCACGGCTGCTGCTTCCCTCTGGTTCCTTCCACGGAAGAAGATCAGATGCAGAAGCAGAGCTATAGCAGATTAACGCAACAAGCAGCGATCTCAGAACACATAGATTCAGAACCAGCTCCACAAGCCCAGACTCAAGGGCCACTTTTTAACTTGCCACCTTTATCATCTTGAGAGGCCAATTGCCTGTTGATTTCTAGGTTCGGCGCTTGGACTGAAAGTCTCTGGTTCCCGGACTGGTGAGATGGCGACGGAGGAGCCTCTGGTCCCTGACTATAGGGGAGACCAAAGATGTAATGCCAGACCAGATGCAGACTACCCCCTTCGAGTGCTCTACTGTGGAGGTACGTGTGAAAAAGGCAGGGAAATGGGGAGACAAAAAATGATAGTGGAAGATCTCTTTTCTGTTCCGAAGCCTCCGCCCAAACCTGGAGCAAATCGTCAGCCATTTAAAAGGGCAGAGAGGGGTATTCTGAGATTTATAGTTATGTCCTTTCCCTTCATCTGCCCCCTGGCGTGGCTGTGAAGATGCTGGCGAGCTAGATGTTTAAGTTGAAATTTTGGTGGTTCTATGGTAGGCACTTTTATCTGCTTTACACCGAGAATCCTACCTTAAAAGCAACCAGCTTCATAAGCAACAATGGTGGGTTTCCTCCCACTCGTCCTAGTTAAGACTAGTTGCAGGTTATCCAGGTTTGGAGAGCAGAAGATGTGTTTTAGCTAGTGCTTCTCAACCTCAGCAACTTTAGCTGGCTGGGGAATTCTGGGAGTTGCTGGAAGTCCACACATCTTAAAGTTGCTGAGGTTGAGGAACGCTGACCGAGAGTGTGAGACCGAGTGTCCGGACTCTTCCGGAAGGGAGGTAAGGATCCTGCGGCTTGTTGCAGCTCACGTGAACGAAGTCATAAAGCAGCCTTTCCCATCGCCGGACTGTCCAAGGGGGCTGTACTTCAGCTGCGGCTATGCGGGTGTGCAGAGTGGATGGTCAGGATAGAATACAGGCTCAGATATCTTCCGTGTTTCCGTGTTTTTAAAAATTAAAATAGGCTTTCGAAAAAAGAAAGGAATTAATACAGTCTTTATAATTTAGCACACAGTGTAAAATGCTGTTCTGTGACTAAGATTTCCAGTTCATGGTAGGAGCCAACACGCAAATGAGAAGGACCGGTCTTAAACATAGGGTAGGCGGCCTGTGGGTTCCCTGATATGATCAGATTACAATGTCCAGTATCTCTTTCTATTGGCCATGCTGGCTGGGGCTGCTGGGAGTTGTAGTACAGGTGAACTTTGAGAGACCTTGTGGATGTCCCTGTCTTACATAAGATTTTTAAACTGGATGATAGAGGGAAAAAAGGATCATTGTTTTAAACTTTTCCTGTTTTCTTCCCCAGTCTGTTCCTTGCCGACAGAGGTGAGTTGCTTACTTTTTAGTTTTTGCTTGGTCTGTGCAGCCAATGGAAAAGGGAAGTAGCTTGAAACTGCAGCTAGAGCTCTTTTTAAAAATATTTCTCCTGTACAAAGATTTAACTGGAAGTCAGTGGAGTAGCATATTGGTTCGAATTATGCCAGCTCAGTCTATTCACAGATGCATTGATCCATTTTTTTTTTTTTTAATTTGTGCCTCTGAATCGGAAAGCAAAAATTTGGCTGAAGGAGCAGCACCAATTTTCCGTAGAAATCTATAAATAGGTGTCTGTTCCATATTGTGACTCCCCTCCTGAGATCTGCAGTGGTGGAATCCTTTCTCATCCACTTTACCCCTTGACTGGTTTCTTGATGTTCTTAACTTGAGGATATCTTCTGGATGTTCTAGCAGATTTGGCCATTTATGTTTCAGTGAAATTTGGAAAGACTTATTGGAAAGGTCTTGGAAAAATTATTGGAAGTAATTGGAAAGAATCGGAAAATTATTTGTAGGCATGGGAACCCTTCCTTAGACTAGTTGGTTATCTGTGTTCCCCCTCCCCTCCTTTAAACAAGAAGAACTTTGTATTTTAGTTCTGAACAATTTTAGCAGCTCCGCAATTGGAATTTGTGATTGCAGGTTTAAAAAAATAAAGAAGAATGAGTGGATTTAAAAAATGTGTATCCTATCCACCCTCTGAAAAAACTCCCAGCCACTTTGAATAACAGCTTAAACAAATTATGTAAAGGTTTCAGTTTTGCCAAATCAAAGCTGGATTAGGTTTACTTCTCATGGTTAAAGTTATTTTAATTTATCTTCAAAGGCCAGTAAGATTGAGCATTGGTGAGCTATGCAAGACGTGGAATCTCAGGTGGCTGAAGTCCGGCGGCTTGTATTAAAGGAAAAGATAACCTGGATCAGATCTTTCTTACACTGTGTGGAAAGACAGTCCATAGCACACATTGAACCGAGAGCATTTCTTTGCTGTTATGTACAAGTGCTGAAGATTTGTGTTATGCTCTATACATCTGGCCATTCTCAACAAACAATTTTACTCTGGTTTTTTTTTCCTCCAGTATTGTGAATACATGCCTGATATGGCAAAATGCAGGCAGTGGCTGGAGAAGAATTTTCCAAATGAATTTGCAAAGCTTACTGTAGGTAAATAATCTTTGTGACATTTTGAGGGTGGCATTTCTGCCTCAGTCCTGTCCCCCATTTGTCTGGGAAGCCGTTCCATTAAAGGCAGCGGGGTTTCTGGGGTCGAAAAGGCGACTCAGGAGCCGCACCGTCCCTCTCCGTGAGAAAAGAATAACAATAGGTCGGATTAATTGGCTAAATTAAAATAACTCTCAGGGATTGTAATAAGGGAGCCCCCTAAAGAAAGCCCCGTAAAGAAATCTGTAGCCACTTTTTTTTCCTTTTTTTGTAGGACTTCAGGATCACTAATAACTCTGTGTATTTGAATTCTAGAAAACTCCCCTAAACAGGAACCTGGCATTGGAGAAGGTCAAGCAATGATGGGTGAAGAGGAAGAAAAGAAAAAACAAAAGAGAGGTAATGATTAGCTGGATACAGCTTTTTGGTTTGTTTTTTTTAAGTGTGTTTTAAAGCATAGCTCAGCTTTCCTCCTCCTGGTGTCCTCCAGGATTAAAACCCCAGACACATCTGGAGAACCGCAGGCTGGGAAAGGCCTGCCCAGCTGTTGCTGGGGGCCTTGGGGGTGGAGTGCAGCTGTGCTGGGCTGCTAGAAAGCCAGCAGTCCGTTTTTTGCATCCTGCAAGCTAGATTTTGAGAGGATATTGATACATTTTCCATTTCTGCGTCCCCCGCCCAGGTGGAAGGGGTCAGATTAAACAGAAGAAGAAGACAGTGCCTCAGAAAGTTACGATAGCCAAAATTCCCCGAGCAAAGAAAAAATACGTCACGCGCGTCTGCGGCCTTGCAACTTTTGGTGAGTGAAGGGAGGCTGTGTTTTTGCTGGGGTCTCTGGACTTGATTGGTGGGGATCCGCTAGTGTTTAAAAAAAAAATCTCTCTGTGGGGCTACTTGCATGTTAGCAAAGAGACCGGGCTAGAATCAGCCTTTTGAACCTGCAAATCAATATTCTAAAAGACGGGAGAGAACCCTTTGAATGTGGGCCTACAATTTGGGGCGCAATGTAGGAAAATAGAGCTTTTTCTTTTATAATCTGACTCAGTGGTTTTACACTCTGACCAGCAGGGACTCTGGGATTGCTCTTGTAAAGCCCCCCAGACTTTGGTGGCTTAGACCAGTGTTTTTCCAACTTGGCAACTTTAAGGTGGGTGGACGTCAACTCCCAGAATTCCCCAGCCAGCATGGCTGGCTGGGAAATTCTGGGAGTTGACATCCACCCATCTTAACGATGTCAAGTTGGGAAAAACACTGGCTTAGAAGGTCATAACCGATCCAAGAGAGCACTGGGGCTTTTCTTGATCTTTTCTTTTTTTTTCTCTTCCCCAAACAGAAATAGATCTTAAGGAAGCCCAAAGGTTCTTTGCTCAGAAGTTTTCTTGTGGTGCCTCAGTCACCGGGGAAGATGAAATCATCATTCAGGGAGATTTCACAGATGACATCATCGAAGTGATTCAGGAAAAATGGCCCGAGGTAATACACTGAACCTCCTCTGCACGGGTTTCTGTTAAAGAACTTTTTAAAAGTTCTTGGCTTGGAGTCCCTTCCCGGTGGCATTTAAGACTTTGCAGTATAGTTGCAAAGGTGGAATTCCATGATATCCTGGCCGTGAATTCGAATCCGACATTGTGAGAGGTTAATTTACTATGAGGGTTGTCTCTTCCCTGAAATGGATTGATTACAAGCCATCGAGTCATTGTCCACCACATAGATCGATTTTCTCCATGACTTCCCTGAAAAGTATCCCATAATAGAAGAGGAAATTTGGCTTAGAAACCCTGAGACTCGTACTCTGAGAGACATGACATACGAGGAAAGAGGTGGGGAGGGAGGAAGGAAAAAAAAAGGTCAAGCTTGAGTTACTCGTTTTGTTAAACTAGTTAAAAATTACTAGTTGGGGATGGAAACATTCCAGACAGTCTGATTGACTCTTGCCTGGATAAAACCTGGAGACGCCTTAAAGCAATTTAGTTATTTGCACCCCACCCCTGAAAACCACCTTTAAAATTCAAGATATTCAGTTCATTTCTGTATGGTCCTTTCTTATGTAATAACGCTTTTGAACTTCTGTGCTGCAGGTGGACGATGATAGTATCGAAGATCTAGGAGAAGTAAAGAAGTGAGGTTCCTTCTGAAACAGCAGTGACGCCAAGTTCCTGGCTTTTTTTTACAAACGCCTAATTCTAGCCAATGTAGCCAAAGTGAGGCTTTTGTGGGGCTTTTCCTGATAGGACTGTTGAAGAAGCTTGTTCCCTGATGGCATTTTCACTGTTGCGTATTTGCTGCTTTTTATTTTTTATTTTTTGTCTGTGATTTTTGCCAAAGTTTAAACTTGGGGGAAGCGAGAATATCAGGCTTCTGCTGGAAATAGAGATTTAATCAAATAAAGAAGTTACTGTTCTTCGCGGCATGCGTTCTTCTTTTTCTTAACCCAAGTTGACAGCTTAGTCGACAGCAAATAAACCCCGTGATGGCCTGGCGTGATGTTTGAAGGGAGCACCTAGGGTTCTGCCACCCTCCATCCATTCTTGCAATAAAAAAAAAAATTTTTTTTAAACAAAGAACTGCTTCTTAAGACTCAGGTGTAAGCTGAAAGCTTGCAGACTTTTCCTCTGGGCCAGAACTCAGCAAGGAAAGGCGATCGGGCAAGCAGATAAATGGATGGAACTGAGGTCCCGAAAGCGGACTTCTGCCTCTCCTGCTTTCCGCCTCTGGGCCAAAACTCAGGGAGAAGAGGTGATTTCGAAGGCCAGTAAATCCTGCAAGTGAGGTGCAGAAGCAGATGTTTGCCTCTGGGTCTCGGGGGTCTCCGTGGGACCTCTCCTTTCCCAAAGAGCGTCACGGCAGCTGCAGGCGGAGACGGGCGGGGGGCGTGAAGGGGGCGCGGGGTCCCGCGGAGGCTCCGGGGG